TTTTTTTCAGCCAGCGTCGCGAGCTTCAAGAAGCTTCTGGAAGCTTGCAGCGCGAGCTTCGGTCGACCTGCGATGCTTGCGGTATCGTGAGTCAGAAACCTTTGTGTCCTTTTCATCGGTTTGCCCCAACAAGTGGTCCAATGTTCGACATCGAAAGGTCATTCAGCTGACGGACGGACAGGCGCCCCAGTCCACTTTTGTTTGACCATGCAGGTTCTTTTGATTGCACCGACTACGCCTCGCAGTCGTTTTCATCGACCATCTGCAAAATCAGGCGAAGAAATGCACAGCGTATACTGAATAGGTACTGCATAGGCATTTGCATACAATCCGTTAAAGAGCAACCCGATAGAAAGGTATGACATGGTATGACACTGAAGTCTGAAGAAGATAGTTGGGGAATGTTGGGGACATGTTCTGACATACGGAAAGCGACACAGTGATCCCCAATCATTCCCGCTGTCTGGGTGACTTAAGAATGAGCAAGGAATGACGACTCCTTCCCCATTCGGGGGTGAGGATGGCTGAGCAGCAAGTGCCACTCGCGCACACCACTTGTCGCACATATTAGGATGATGTGACCACCCAAAGTGCCAACATGAACCATCAAAAGTTCCAGCCCAGAAACCCTGGCCCTGTTCGGTGGGGATCCTTCATCCATCAACCCTTCCCAACCATCTCCCCTGTGCACATAGAACCGCGGCCTGCGCAAGCAAACCCCTGTCTTTCCTTCGCGTTCTCCACCGATGCAAGAAACCCATCCACGCGGCACGCAGTACGCACGCGCCGCGCGATGTCATGGTGCTGCTCTCCGCCGCGGCGCTGGCGACCCTGGCGGCGGGCAACGGCTTCTGCCTCTATCGCTTCCTCTTCGCCAGGCGGAACTCGCTGCCGTCGGTATCGACGACCGGAAGAAGAGCCGAAATCGCACGAGTTGGAGGACCAAAAGCGGAGTGCAACAAAAATCAGATTTGTTTTCTTCAAATGGAGTCACAGCCACTCCTTCAACCCTTGGAATGGATTGGAACATATAGCCTTATATTTAAATCCTTGTAGATACTGATACATCATGATACATCCATAATATATTTAGCCTTATATAGCTGTCATCCCGCTTATTTTGCCGCTTCAGGCAATACCACGCCTGGAGATTGGAAACGGCTGCAGACTTGCAGGCGGGAACTGGCCCCAGCCACTGAGGGGGGGGGGTGGCCCAAACGAGGAAGAGAACGAGTGTATAGCTTGAAGTTGATGTATCTCAGAACATTTCAACAACCAGGAGTCACTCACATGGAGTTGGGGTGTTGAGTCCCATCCAGTGAGTGGATGGATGTTCTTGGGGCACCCAACTCCTACCGGCACCCGACTACCTAGTCCGCACCCCGAGCTCTGTACTCAGCAAATCCTAAAGAAGTAACAGCCAACAATACAGGCTCAGGCTCAGGCTCATCGCTCGACATATACAGGCTCAGGCTCAGGCTCATCGGCTTCCTCCACCCCCAGTTATGTGTTATATACTATATATATATACATATACTGGAATTCCTTAAAACGTCCCCCCCAACCAGCTTCTGATAGAAAGCACCTCAACCCTCCACGGGCCCCTCGTTCCGGCCGCCGCCGGTTCGATCAGACCCCGTTCCGGCCGCCCGGCCGAACCCGGGAGCGGAACGCCCGCCGCTTCAGGCCTTGGTACTGCCATCCTTCCGTTGCCCCATCAGCCAAGAAGTCATGCGTGTCGGGCCGTTTGGTCGGGTCGTGGGTGGGTTTGGGTATAGGGTCGATGGATTTCTACATAATGATGTTTCAATATGGTCAAATAATTGTATGTATGGCGCATGATGCATGTCAACACATGTCAAAAGCTTGGACTTTGGCCTCCACTGCGACCGGACCTTTCAGGGTTACGACCTGGTGAAGATCGCCACCGGTTCCAAGATCTCACGATCGAAGGGAATAGAAACATGACTGCAGGGTTGGCCGTGTAGAGTGTAGAGACGTGTAGAGTTACTATTAAAAAACAGTGCATATGGTCGTTCTACCAGGTGTTTATTGACGTACCCCATGCCTCTTTTGGTGTTTGGGGTAGTTTCTTCTGCCATTTCTTCAGATAAGAATCATGACCGGAAAATCGATGGAGAACCCACTCCACCATGCCATTGGGAAGAAGGAGCTGCGTATGTAGGCACCACAGGACTCTTTGCTCCGTCTTCCACGGTGCTTTTAAATATACGGGTTGGCAAAAACATTTTTGGATTGATGGTTTCACCAAGAGTTGAGTTTGGAGGATTTAGATAAGAGTCATCATCACCCAAACTCTTTAGTTTTTGTGTGGTATAATATGAAAACATGTATGTCGGCGAGTATGTCACCCAGATCCTGTATGCTCCAGGATCCTGTGGTGACCTGTGATGGTCAAACCTACGAGCACCAGAATATCCAGGCGCCGCACGCCTCCGGAGTCGCCGATGACGTGGGGACAAGCTTCAGAACGTGGAGCATCTCTCGGGATGGTTCAACAGGAGGCTTCAGGAGGTAGACATTTCCACCAAACATGGACTCAACAGCGAAGTTTCGCTAACACTTGAGTCCGTTTAAGAGAAGACCTGTTAGAGAATACTGGAAGGACAAACGATGTCTCCTTCTTTGGCAGAAGTGCATGTCCTTATTCCGACTCTTTGGCTGGTATGAACTCCAAGAGTATCCCCCTGAGCCAATCTGTACGAGAAGTATCCCACTCCTTGTCTCCAATCCAATCGCCACCTGTGCCCTGACTGAAATGGCTGTGGGTCAAAACCGGGACACCCTGGTTGACCACCTGGCGAATGAACAGAATAGACTACCTGGGGCTCCAGGTTTTGACCTACCACCCAGCAATCCCGATGGCTCGCTGCTGGCGAGAGCTCACTCTCGCTCGCCGGACCACTTCGGACCACGACGATGAGTTGGCCGCTGGACTGATCTTCGCTGGACTACTGGCAGTGGTTCAAAACACTCTAGTCGACCACGCAACGTGAAGATAACACCATCTACCAGACAAGGTCAACCTGGGGCCCCCTCCAGGTGTTGACCCCTCCAGATCTCGCTCTCGCACGAGAGATCTTGACCCTTCAACCCCCCACCGGTGTTCATCCTCGCTGCCATTCACGCACGCGATTCACGCACGCACCGCTGGCGCGTCTCGCCGCAAGAATGGTTCTCGACGGGCGAAGGAGTGGTTCCGGCGTGGCACTCAGACCTCGCCCTTGACGAATCTGCCCTTGGCCTCAAAGGCGCGGCGCGGCGTCGACTGGCGGCTCCACCGCTGCGATCGAAGCGGCGAAGCGGCGAAGCGTGCAAAGCGGGGACTGGCGTTGTTCATGGTTGGAGACTATGCTGAAGCGTGTTGAAGGAACGGGATGGTGAAACATGTTGAAGTCCTGGCACGAGGCTATAAGACTAGAAGTTGTATGGAGATTAACATTCTGCTGATCGAACATGACATGCACAGACCAAATCGCTTGCCAGATGCCTTGCTTAAGCCATGAAACATGGCCAATTGTGGCACACAGTGTTCCGAAGTAGGATATGCGATGCCAAAGAGAACCGCACATGTCAATTTGCATTGCCTGAAATCAACTACTAATATGAGACTATGAGGAACAAACCATGACGAACATACATGAAAGAGGACGCAGATGATGTGCTTTGCATCAAAGATCAAGAGCTCGTCTTCGAGGTTTCACGGCTGAGACCATGGCCACGGAGCAGCTGACCAAGCATGTCCCCGTTGCTTGTGGTAAGATGGTGGCTTTCCATGGGTCAGTCTTTGGCTCGTGCTTTGAACGCCACTTCGAGCTGGAGGTGACATGTAGCTGGGCGTTTTAGAGATGGCTTATTGGGTTCTGGATTTTTTTGTTCACAGTTTCGGTTTGAAACCATCAATTACTGTAAATCTACAGGCTGAAGGTTTCTTGGTTTCCTGACATCCAGGTCGCAATGTGGCTGACAAAGAGAGACTCTCTCGCTTTGTTCGAGCTTTCATCGCCTCCATGGGTGGTATTGCCTCGCCTTTTGAAGGCATCACACAAGAGCAACTGAAGAGCGCATCGAAGCTCTCAAAGATCATGGATCGCTTTGACAAGTCTAGCTTCGCAGGAGAGCGAGCTAACGCCTTCAAGATCTTGCAGACGAACCTGGCCCAGTTGAATTGGAACTTTGATGGCTTCCGAGAAGTGCATGAGGCGCTGAACCCTGGAGAAGATCGCTGAACCCTGGGGGGAATGTTTGTACAAATGGAGCTTCCCTAGTGGGTCCGTGCATTACAGTGCTAGCAGCAGCACTTGCGATCACCAAAGTCGCCACAACCGCCTTGAGCAGTTGCCACTACAGCCATACACGCACCATTGAGAGCTACTGTACGGGCTTCTGTCAGGAGATGATGCTTGTTCAGCAAACAGCCAGCATTCTGAGTGTAGCAGTTACTGACTGTAGCACGCAGCGATTCTTTGTCCAACTAAGGATTCACGACGCAAGCCTGGACCATCAGACACGAGAAGAACGAGACGCAGCCCAGCATCGCCGTGCTCAAGCGGAAAGATGGGCATCTGACCTCTTCGGGTTTGTGAGCTGTGACCACGAAGCCGTCACGGCAGGAGCACGAGGTGACACACCCGCTGCGGAGGATGGACGATTTTCAGCACAGAAGCGCAAGAACGACTTCGATGGGACGATCCAGGTGCTGAATGCCCAGAAGATTCGAGCTCTTGGAGGTTGATGCCAAGAAGACTTTCAAGCTGAGGTAAAGTGAGGCACTGATGAATTCGTACTGTTTGTGAGTGGAATACTGACAGACATTGACAGACCGAGTGCAAACTGTGTACAGGCTGACTAAGCAAAGTCAGGTACTTACCGGGAGTCTAATTTGGTGCATGCGGGGATGGGACAACGCGCATGAGCGCTTAGTCCTAGCACAGTTGAGATCACACGTGGGGCCCAACTGGTGTGGTGACAAAGCGCGTCAAGTGCCTGCTTTTTTCGCCCTGCTGACTGCCCACATTTGAATGTTCCTTCTTGTGTGGAGATTAAATACTCATCATCATTAATCAAGAGGATACTCACTTTGGACCATCAAACATTGCCCAAGTGTCTCATCCGAAGTTTCTGCGCTTTCGTTGCTCCCATCGGCGCAGAAAGCGCGTGCCCGGAGTTCCAACCCGTCGCCGCCAGGAGTTGGTGCCGAACCTGGCGCTGAGACAGGTGCGCGCACCCGGTGGTTTTGTTGGTTTTGTGTGGTGTACCGATAGCCTCGTGGACCCCGACAAAGACTTTACTTTTTTCTTGAGGATATCATTTTTTTCAAAAGGGTGGAAGATGGATTATTATTGATTCTTTTTGTGTATAGATACTTTCTAGGTGGGTGTGGGTAGGTTGTTGTAGTTGAATCATGTTTGTAAGAGTCCTTCAACTCCTTTTGCATGAGGCACAGGCCTTTCTTGCACTACAGGCTGAACACATAGCTCCTGCTAGCAGAATGGTGCCCCGGAAGGATTCAAAGGTTGACCGAGAGCTGAGAAATGACCGAGGCTGTGGCAGACTTCCACACGAAAGTGTGCCCTCTACTGCAAGAGGAGCTGCCAATCGGTGCCATCGACACGTTGGTCTCGGTCTCGGGTCGTTCGAGACACGAAGGGCTCGTCCGACAAGGGCGACGCCAAGGGCCCAAGGAACAAGGCCTGAGATTGGAAGGAACGAAAATTCTGCTTCGCTTCGTTGATCAAAAACATGCTCTTATATTCTCTGATGGGAGCCTGCTAAAAACCTATTTCTTTGATTTTCTTGCAATAGAAATGGACTCTCACACAGCATCTTCTGAGTTGTGCTGCAGAAACGCGGCCCGGGCAGCCTTGCACAGTGAATGGGCATATGTTGCTTGAGGATGCTCGAAACGTTGTATGCGACTCAGTCATTCTTTCCGTGTTACTGTGTTTTAACGGGGACAGGGCTAAGATGAAAGGGCAGCCCTGTTGGCTCATGATGGCGATGGAACAGACCTGGAACAGATATAGACGCCTAAACCAAAGTCGAGATGTTCATTTTGTGAACCTCTTCCAAGTGAAGTGCCACTTCCATGTAGAAACCCACCCATGGCAGCCGGTCATGGCAGCCGGACGGACGGTTCTGTCTCGCGACAGCCACGGCGAGGAGGTGGACCACCGAAAACGCCTTGAGAGCCGAGTGCACCTGCTCCTCCAACGCGAGGCGCCCGCGCCAAAACGCGCCAGGAACACGGGGGGTCGTGAAGGGAAGACCGAAGCCGGCAAAAGTACGGGGAGAGTAGGAAATACGTGGCGAAGCCAAGTCCTTTCAACTCTTTTCAACAACGTTGGTACCTGGGTGATTTCTTTTTGACACTCGCAGAACACCGAAAAGATCCAGGCAAATATTCGTGCCTGGGTGGTTCAGTTGTTTCATCCGCAAACACCCCGGGTGTTTCCAAGTCCGGTGCCCAGAATGCACCTGCTGTTGCACGCCTGGAGGCTCGATCATCCTAGAGGGTCGATCGCTTGAGTGTTTGATCGCTTCGCGGAGAGCTACTCAGAGAAAAGAAAGAGCATAGTAGAGCGTTTGAGAAAACGTATGGATTGCTTGAGAAATGTATCTGGTACAGGATTTGACCCATGAACTTCGTGGCAGACATTTAAGAATATGAGTTCCATCTTAAATCTTGGACATATATCAAAGGGTCACTGCTCTATGAACCACCTCCAAGTGGGATTCTAAGAAAATACCATCGTTTTTCCAAGTGTTTTTTCCCCTTCCAAAAGGCCCCAGGAGCTGGACCAGCAACACGGCGGTGTTGAGGCGAACGGGTGAGTGAAGCATGGTGACACATGTCAACAGGGCAAGCCGAAGGAGACAGTCGTTCAGAACATGTTTTGGGATTACTTTGGGATGGGAAGGTGATTCAAGAACCAAAAACCACCAGGTCAAGCGAATGAACGACCCAGACATGGTCGAAAAGCGAATCACTTGGGGAGACAAAGGTTTCCATTTTTAGATCAGTTTGAGGACCACTCTGGACTCGGATCAGTTCACATTGCCGAACGTCCTCTCTTTGCTCCTCCCACTAACGTCGACGAGACCGCTCCAGGTGCAGCTGCAACAAGAGATCTCGGGGAAAGATGGCCAGCGCGATGAGGCCAGAGAGACGCAGTTCTTTGGATTTTTTTCGATGTGTGAAATGTGCAGTGGACTGATTCAATTGCTCATTGAGAAGCATGGATTGATTGACGAACGAATGTCCTTTCACTTGTGAAGGTCACCATCCATGGTTTGTGAAGGATCCAGACGCACAGCAGGACCTAACATGGACGAATCGACCTCCAGGCAGCGCCACATCCGACCTAGCATGCCAGGCCTGACATACGTGGCGCGGCCCTGGTCCGGTGCGTGTCGCATGTCGCGTGTGGCGTGTCGCGTCCTTCCAGGCGATGCAAGCCTTACTGGACTCCTTGCAAGAGCGCGAGGTGTCCGTCCGAGAATCGACGCAGCTGACCAACCGCGGTCGGTTGGGGGGGAAGGAGGTTTGTGTGGATCCGATGCGGAGGTTTCCCCCCCAAGAAAGCAGCAAAATTGAAGCAGTCTTTCTTGCCTGATTTGGGGAGAGGAAGCAGGTGCAGGATTAGTCAAACTGTACATGCCAGTGTAGGGTCCAGGCAACTCCATGTCGATACTTTTCTTGTACTTCAGGGTTTGGGGGACCAGTTTCTCTACCGATTTGTCCACCAGATTCGATGCATAGCAGTTTGAGATGGTTTGAGTGGGTAGATGCACCAACTTCCCCTCAAGTTCTACGGCTCTACTTGGAGAGGTCGCAGTTCTACGAGCGGTAGATATTGGTAGACCATTGAAAGACTGGCCATAAGGGGAATGTCCGATCATGTCCGATGTGATTATCATTAAAGACCCAGACATCAATAGAAATCTCAAAAGAACATGACACAGTACATGAACGCACACACACACACACATATATATACACTAGTATATCATAGCAGGTTGAAGAGAGACTTTCGGGGCTTAAGATGAACTTTAATGATTCACGTTTATCTTGGGACCAGAATTCTCTTCAGCTTAGCCCACTGTGCAGCTCGTGCAGCTCCCTTCCACCGGCAGCTCGTGAGGACGAGATCTGCACCTGGCGGAACGGCAAGGAGGAGATGCTCAAGGAGATGGGGGGCCGAGAGTGGGGCAGAGCTTGCGTTTGTCCAAGCTAAAGGATGACTTCATTGCTTTTGCTTCATCATCTCATCCCCATCCACTGGACATTTAGTGAATAAAGACCCAAGACGCAAGACAGAGGTTCCTGCAACAGATCATTTACTGACTCAACTTGCTTGCTGCACAGGCTGAAGTAGGGGTCTTATTATTATCTGACAAATTCCGACTTCTTGAACTTCCGCACGAAAAGGATCACTCATGAGTGTGTGGCGAAGCAACCCTGTCAAGGGTGTTTCCAGCTCCATTTTCATCTCTTGGTCAGACTACTGTTGGCGAACCCCCGCAGAGTACACCAAGAACCTATCTGACATATTTTGGAGGGTCGGTCGCCTACTTGAAGTGGTCAGCATATGGGGTTCTATCGGGATTCTGGGTATAGACAGAGGTGGAGCAAAACGCCCAGGAGCTGGAGCAATTGCGAGAACTGCACCAGGAGGAGCTGCAACGGAACTTGGACAGTGGCCGGTGGATGGGAAAGTGAAGTCGAGTGACAGTGAAGGCAGTATTGATCATATTCTTTGAAACAATCCAGATCAACAACAAGGCTAAGGACACAGTCTTATGTGACACACCTGGACAAGGTGCTCGTTGAGGTGGTGTGACACACCTCGCAGCGGAGACTGGCCCAGAGAGGGGCAGATTGGCCGCAGAGACGCCCGACTTGGGAGGAAACGCAGAAAACATCCCTCCGACCCCTGAGATTTGGGACGCCCTCTTCGGTGTTGCTTCAAAAAACCGGTCATCAAGGCGACCCCACCAAAAATGGATCTCATTGGTATACCAGTAGACTGAAGGTTTGCTGTTCTTATGCTGGGTGATCTACGCAATCTAGAACTTCATCTCCCTGAAAGCGATTTTTTGTGGTTGATTCTACCAGGAGCTCGCTCAGCAGAGGGAGGAGCAACAGAAGGCTATGGGGACACCTGATGGGTGAGTAGAAGATGGACACTCTGGTCTTCAAGCCTTCAAGCTCTATAATGTAGACTCTACCTCTTCATATGGGAGGGTCTATTAATCAAGAGTCTACATTACCTGGACCTTTTTATGATCTTTCTGGGTCTGATCGGAGGTGTTCAGGAGCTCCTTTTGATTATAGAGCTCTCCCGGTGTCCTGTGATGGGTGGTAGTTTCATGTTTGTTGATCGATTGAAAGGTGTCCATCTCTCCAAACACAACTGGCAAGAAGGTACCGTCGCATTAGTAGATGGTGAGGATCAGGTAGGACATGGTAGGACTCAGTCGTCTGTGTTAGAGCATATTGAATTCATGGCTAGCAGGAAGGTATATGCTATTTGGACATATATTTGGGATACTAGAAATCAACGAGCTGCAATTCTAGGTCTCCCTTTTTCATCTCAATAGGCATTTATGATTGCAGTGCTGCATCCTCAACATCAGGACCTTCTGACCATTCCTATTGCCCAGCTTGGACCATACCTGGGCTGCAATCCTTCTCTCAACTGTACCCATGGCTCTGCATTATCCTCTCATCCAAGTTCCTGGCCGTTCCCAGTCAAGAATAGGGTGTCAGACGGCGATCCCTATGCTCCTTAGATCTCTTTCTTCAACGTGCAATTTTGCGATCACAAGACCGAGCGTGCCAGGTGTTGGAACTCTTGGAAGCGGAACATGCAGTCGCCATGAACAAGATCAAGGCAACCGCCCGACCGAACGCCTCGCTTCGCATTGGCCGCGGCGAAGCGACCGAGTGAGGGAAGGACGGAAGATGGAGAAGGGATAGAGAGGGATTAATTATGGGTTGGTTTGTTCAGGCCGCATAGCTCTAGGTGCTTCTGGGTGGAGGGTTTAAAGTCTTTGAAACATAGGGATTTTTGAAGCCAACGGGTGCTTCATTGGAAGAGGTAAAGCACCACAACTCCTCTTGGTGTAGGTTGCCTGCTAGCGTTGCGGAGGGAGTGATCAACAGCAATGGATATTGTTCCTTTCCTGGACATGTCTTCCCATTAAACAGCCACAAGAACTGACCGACGCACCTATAACTGTAGAAGATGATGGATGGGAGTCCAGTTTCTAGTCATAAACCTTCAGCAAATGCTTTATTCAAATTGCTGCAAATTGTTCAGTTTGGTGGCCCCAACGAAACTGCCTCGCGAAGAACCTGGACCAGCGCCACGACGTTTGCACGAAGGTGCCAGGGTTCTGAAGGCTGTGGGAACAAATAATCTAATTCCTTTCTCCAGTGCAAAGTCTGGCGCCAGTAGTGATCACCGCGACAAAGGTATGCTTTGGTTGCGTATTGGTTTCTTCATAGGGGATCGGAACGATCGGATAGCTTCTTCACCGAAACGAGCGAGGCCGAGGGTGAATCGCTGCGGCGACAGCGCGATAACGCAGTGAGGAGACAGTGGTGGTCTTTTTTCTCTTTAGCGGCAGGGGTCGGGATTTCTATGATTTTTTGAGGTCGATTTGATTGGCTCGTTTTTGTGGGCCCATAGAATACCTTGTTCTTCATAGTTCTTCTTTTAACATGGAAAAAGTACTTCCAACTTCCAACGGACTCTTAGGGACACTGACACTCTGAAAAAGTTACTGCTGCTTGTCACTCGGGGTAGGAAAGAATTCTGTGATGTATTGAAGCGGTGCCGTCTCCGCGGCCGGATCTGAAGCCAAAGCGGGGGTGTGAACATCCCAGAGTGATGTAGACTCTTGATTAATAACCCCCCCATATGAACGATATGAAGAGGTGTTTCAATTCAAATGGAGGGAGTTATGATTCAAGAGTCTACATTAGTCTCTATTCTGTTCCTTTCCCAATTCAGGATCATCTCGCGGGTTCAGGATCGCCACAAACCGAACTGGGTTACAGGATGGGAGATGAGGCACTAGAGGCACGCAGAAGCAACTCGTCTGGAATTCAGATGTGTGAGACGTCACATCCATCAGTCCCAACTCCACTCAGTTCATTCGCGGGTGAGGTTCCCAATGATTCCTGGCCTTGGCCCAGCGGCCTCCACCATCCTGGGCCACGTGGCACAAACAAAAAGTCAGCTGGCTCAGGTTCCTGACCCAAAGATTGGTCAGAGAAGCAGAGCTTGAGAAGCACACCTAGATATGTTTCTTTCGGCCGGTGTGAAGAAAATATGAGAAAATGGTATCGGGCGCCCCCTACTCACCATCTTCGGACATTTCGTTGGGCCTCCAGCCGCTCAATCATCCAGGTTCCACCCGGAACGCAGACATTCCAGCGGACCAGATCTTCCGTCCCAATGTCACCTCGGGCAGCCCCAAGAGGCCTTAGAAGACCCACACACACAGACCTACACAGATCTCACCGCCGAGTCAAGGCCCTTCGGAAAAGCATCGGCGAAGTGTCCCCATACATCATGCCACCATGAAAACCCGACGGTTCGCTTCTTCAAAGTGACCTGTTTGGAGCGCCACAAGTGTTTCCGTGTAGCAGGCTAATAACATGATGTCAAACCTCAAAATATGAAGTTTGGAGCACACAAGTGAAGGACCAGGTACCAAATTGGCTACAAAGGCTGTAGGGTTGGCGCACTCCACTCCACTCCGCCATGGCCCTCCCCCCGCCCCATGCGCCGTGCCGCCGTGCTCCACGCCTCAGCGACGCGGCGGACGGATGTCTCCAGCTGCACGGCGGAAGTGCACCGGCTGGCGCAACAGGGAGCCAGGCCGGACGTGGTTTTACTCGTCTTTTTTTAAAACATTTTTTGAAGCTTTCAGCTATTTAGTGAAGTGTATCTTAATTTATGATGTTTTTTGTAATGTGTTGTGCGGATTCTTTGATCAGATGTAGCACCAGTTACATGTACATGATATAGCTTGTATAGATGTATGTTTCACTGCAGCCGTTTGTGGTTTACTTTTGTGTTCATTTCGATACCAGAGCTCACGCGTGTTTGAGCTAAAAGTGGGCCTAAGCTTCTACTCCAACCTTTGGGACAGTGACTTGGGGTCACAGAGTTTAAGAGCCTAAATTCTCCGTTCATGGTAGCGGAGCCGCGGTTCTAAGACCCGGCTACCGTCTGCGAATCAAAGGTTGCCGAGCCGCATCGGCTCTGGCACCGGAGATCCACAAAACAAGCATCACTTGCAGGAAAGCCGGATTGCTTCAATCCCTGGCTAGCAAGTCAACATGGCGCAACAGCCAGGAGCACAGGCACCACAAGCCACAGACATGGCACAACAATTTGCACAGATGATGCAAGCCCTAGCACAGGGGCAGAGCCAGTTGCAACGAGCAATGGCAGAAGCATATACACAACAAACGGCGATCACAAGGAACATAGCCACTAGCGTAGAAGTAAGAGACAGATCAGAATTGAAAGGCATTCCAAAGCCTGACAAGTTCAGTGGACACACAGGTACCTGGGATTCATGGTACTTCAAGTTCAAGACTTGGATTGAGACAAGTCACAAGAATGCAGGAAAGTGCATTCAGCTCCTCGAAGAGCATCAAGACACAGAGATCAATGAGACATCTCTGGAAGATGATTATCCTGAAGGAGTCGAGGTCGAGAAAAGGCCCAGAGGCATCGTGGCTACAAGAAGCCAGGGCAGGCAAAGAAGCCTGAGAAGCCAAAAGAGAGGGAGCCCAAGATCGAGGATCTCTCCACTCAAGAGTTGGCAGAGATGAAGCGGGAAAGCCAAACATGGACGGCTACTAGCCATCCAGCCCGCAGTGTCATCGACAAGGCGCTCACTGCAGCTGGGTTCAACCCAGAGGACTATGTTGTGATGAAGCGCGTCGAAAGCCAAGGCGAAGGAGCAACAAGCGCACCATCCTTCGCAGCTCCAGTCATGGAGAACATCAATCCCCTTGATGTGACTGAGATCGAGGGACTCGAAGAAGAAGAAGAGTTTGAAGGTGAAGTTGAAGAGGATGAGAATGGCACTGAGCCAGCTGACGAGGAGTCAGATGGACAAGAAGAAGAAAAAGAGAAAGATACCGTGCCATGGCTCGACCACATGTTCCAAGAGCGCATCCTCAGCTATGATGAATGGGTAGCCAAATGCACCCACAAGAACAGAGATGGCAGCAAGAATATGGTCTGCCGTGCGTGCAACAAGGCCCTGAGGTGTGACAATGACACCGGCCTATGGAACCATCATATGGCTTTGAATTGTTGCCCGCCAAAAGTCCTCAACCAGTGGGCAAAGGAATGGACGATCAAGCAGAAGGAGATGGGAAAGCGCATCAAGACTGCCAAGGGACAGCAAGGCAGCCCAACTTCAAAAGATGCGCCAAAGCATGTGAAAGATGCCGACATGGATCTGAAGCCCGAAGATGTGGCAAAGCATTTGAAGATGGAAGATCCAAAGCTTGAGACTGTCAAGAAAGGAGGTCCTTTCTATATGACTGCCCATATGCAGAAGATGATGGAAGAGCAGGAGGAGGAAGATGATGTTGGCCCAAAGACGCCAAAGCAAAGGCGCATCGCCAAGACACCTCCACCTCCTGAGAAGAAGGGCAAGACCAAGGAGGAGCGCATGGCCTGGTTCAAAAGCTCGACTGAAGAGCACATGGAGCGATTCCGTGGACCAGGATCCAAGCCAGAGGAATCCAGCGAAGCGCCAAGGCAGACGCTTCGGCTGAAGTCCCGGTCACGATCCCCGGGCAAAAGCCGAGCCGCTTCGGCTCCGGCTGCCTCCGAGAAGGGCCAAGGAAAGGGCAAGCAGAAGAAAGTGCAGTTGACTCGAGCCGTCAACGTGGCCACTCAGGATGCTGCCCGTGAGGCCAAGAAGGGAAAGGGAAAACGATATCCCACTCCCTCAAGTGAGCCTGATGAAGGCGATGAAGATCCACTCGCTCTCAGGAGTTTGGAGCTGGCATCCATGGAGACGCCAATGGCTCATCAGGTGACCTTGGATTCAGGAGCCGCGACCTCCTGCATCCCTGTTGAACTGGCCACCGCATTGGGCTACAAGCCTATCCAGTCTGAAGGCACCTGCAAAGTCTACAAGACTGCCTCAGGCGAAGTGGTCAAGGACCTTGGCAAGATCGATGCCATGGTGACCATCGGCATCGGCCAGAACTCCCTCAATGGACGTTGCTGTTTCCGGGTGATGGCGGTTGCAAAACCGCTGCTCTCCGCGGGGGCCCTTATGAGCAAGGGCTGGTCCATTCAGATGCACGGATCTGGTGGACATATCTCCCGAGACGGGACTAAGATCCCGATCTCGTTCAGCAACGGCGTCTGTTCTGTGCCGCTTGCATTCCACCCTTTCGTCCGGCACCGCAATGGGTAAGTCCGGTAGTGGACGAACAGGCCGAAGAGGCCGAGCCAGGCGACGAAGTGCCGCCTGAGCTCAAAATCAATTCTCCCATTCGCCCGACGCGAAAAGAGTTTGAAGAGCATGCTGTTTCACACTTTCCTTTTAGGTCTTGGTGTGAGGCCTGTGTAAGGGGAAAAGCTAAGGCAAACCCCCACAGGAAGATAGACCACACCGATGAGACAACCCCAGTAGTAACTGTAGACTACTGTTTCATGAACTCACGGACTGATGACGTAGTTTTGGACGAGAAGACTCATGCACCAATTCTTGTTGTCAGAGATCGATGGACGAAGCATCTTTTTGCTCATGTGTTGCCCTACAAAGGTGTGACAAAAGGTCCATATGGACCCAAAGTACTTTTGAATGACATCAAGAAACTCGGATACTCCAAACTGATCATTCGACATGATCCTGAACCTGCTCTCACATCCGTTGTTGAGGCAGTAAAGAATGGGTTTGAAGGAACCCTGATCATCGAGAAGAGCCCGAAAGGAGTCAAAGAATCCAAGGGAGAGATTGAACGAGCAGTTCAAACCTTGGAAGGACAAGCCAGGACTCTTCGAGCCGCAATCGAGTCGAACTATGGTGAGAAACTTCCTGACGATTCACCTGTTTTGACTTGGTTAGTTGAACACGCATCCACAGTCTACAATCTGTTTTTCCGATCTACCGAACTTCAAGACGGAAAGACTCCGTATTCACGACTTCGTGGACGTGAATGGAAAGTAGCAATTCCACCATTTGGTGAGGCCATCGAATACCTCAAGAGAGGCCACAAGTTCGAGGCCCAATGGACCAAAGGAATTTTTCTAGGAGTGAAAGACACCACCACAGAGAAGATAGTAGGAAATTCCACAGGCGTTTTCACAGTGCAATCCATTCGAAGAAAGCCAGAAGAAGATCGATATGATTCAGAGTTGCTGAAATCGATCACTGGAATTCCCTGGGATCCTCAAGCAATTCGCGAAGAACCAGCGATTGCAGCCCCAAGGGAACCAATCATTGCCAGCCCAAGTGGTGAAGCTTTGGTGCAACCACCGGCAATGGATGACAAGAAAAGAAAGCTGAGAAGGCTTTACATCACCAAGAAAGACCTGGAAA